ACCACAGCTGCCCAGGCCCCACCCCCACCTCCTCCATCCGTCACCAGCAACTCTGCCATGATTTGTCCTCCGCGCTTAAAAAAAAATGCGTATTAGCCAAGAAGACCCCCACTCTGGTCCTCCGCTCCTTCAGAAGCCGGGGGAGCTGAACCTGACCGCGGCGGGGGGGGGGGGGGCGGGCAGAGGGCGGCGAGGCTCAGGCCCCGCCCGTGGAGGGCGGGGAACTCCCGACACGAAATTCACACGCCTGAATCCCCACCCCTCCGACTTCTCAGGAAGAGGACATCATCTCAAGGTGGGAAACCACGAACAACAAACCGCCTTCAGGTCAGGAGACCACTAGGTGTGCAGTCACAGGTTTCCGCCAGCCGAAAACTTTCCCACGTCCGAAGTGGCCGAAGACCCCACCCCCCCGGAGTCCTGGTGTTCGCTGACCCGGGAAATCTGAAGAGGAGTTTCGCTCTCACAAAAAAGGCCGTTACCGTGCTGCCACGAGTCTTTTTGCAAACACGAGCGGCACAATGCAAACTTCCGGAAAGCGAGCGATACTCGCCCCTGGTTATCCCGCGTGTGCTGAAATCTGAACGTTTTAGTTGGCGACGTAGCTTTCTTTTTGTCTTTGGACAAGATTTAGGGTAAGAAAGTGGAAACAAATTAATGACGATAAATACCTGGTGCTCACCGAAAGTCGTGCACCGCTCACTTGGAGCAACCGAAACCCGGGCGGGACACAGGCTGCGCGCCCACCAGCGAGAAAGACACACACACAAACCGATGGTCCACTTACCTTGCTCAAAGGAGTCTGCACAAAAAATATCTAGTGCTTGAAACACAGGGACATGTAAAACTACGAGGCCAGGTGACCCCCAGGGGGACGAATGTCGGGCACAGGGTACTGCTATGCATTTTGAGGGACGACAAAGAAAATAAGCTATTTTCTTCGGGTCTCTTTTCTTGTTCCTTGTCCTAAAAATTACTTACTGTTATGTTTTCACCCTAGGAAATGAAGTCTAGCGAAGGAGATCCAAGATTAAGAAAATGAGAGCTTCTGCTCTACTCTGACACCAAGGGCTTCTCAATACGGGGGCCACCTGCTGTCCCAGGGAGGGTTCTAAGACATCTGAAGACCATCTCAGGATACCAGAATGGGCCCTGCCCGCCCGCCCTGCCCAAGCCTTAATCTTAAAATTTCAAACTGTCTTCACATATGGCACTAAAAACCAACCTCTGGTATCTGGAACAAACCATCTGACCTATCAGTTCTGGTCACCACTACAGAACTGGACATAAAAACGAGTACTGAGCTTGTATTCTGAGAGCAAAGTAAAGGCCAAAAGGAAACTGGAGAGGTGCCCTGGAAAAAATCTGGCATTTGCTATCCTGTCTTTGTATTTTGTTTATGTATTTTTTATCATATGACTTACTGCAACAGTCAGTTTCACAACACAGGAGCTGAGGAGGAGGGTACAGGGACAAATGCAACAGGCATTTCGTGGGTCTTCTAGAATTACCGCAGCCTTAAGGATTTTTACAGGTCTGCTTAGGATTTTTGGAGTCTGATCCCATCTAAAACGTGCCACTTACCGAAGTTAAACAAAATGCTCAGATCCTAAGAAAAAAACTAAAGCCAGGGTTTTTTTTTTTTTCTTTCTGATGAAGTCTAACTTTGTGCGGCCAACTTGCCTTTTACGGAATCACATTTAACTTTTTAAGTTTTCTGCCTTCCTGAAAGCCACCCTCATATATACTTACATATTAATTTGTAAAAGGAAAAGACTTTAGGTTACACGTTAATTCACTGTGGCAGGAGTTCCAGACTCCACACAACAAAGTCCCTGATTCGCCCCCCTACGTGGATCTGGGGAAGGAGGAACGAGATGACGTGTATTTCCTCTTGTTTCCCAGAAGGTCCAACCCTATTAAAAGGAAAACCACTGAGCCCTCACATCCATTCTAAAAACTGCAAGCTATTAGCACTCTGAATAGGAGAGAAACTGAATATAGTAATCACTCATATAAAGAAATGATTTTGAAAATCAAAAAGATCAAAACCAAAACCTCCAGTTTTCACTTTCCGGGATTTGGGAAGCCTAGGTCCACGCCACTACCATTTCCTTCTTACACATTTGACCAAACTTATACTCAGTATACCTACCAGACCCATTACCTGGACCAGGTTAATTGCATAGGAAGATTTTTTTTTTACTATGTTTACATCTTTCTTAATTTTAAAAAAGCATAGTAAAGAGTCTGAGGACAAATTATTCAACTGTTTATCATACATAAGACCGCATGACTATGATACAAAGGGGGGTTCTTTTTCATTTAACGTTACAATATACACAGCAAGTCCGGACCAGATCTTACAATCTGCACACAGGTATTTAACCTTTTCCATGCTGTTTATGTTTTACAATGCACAGAAGTCCTGTAACCAAACCGTGTAGTAAAGCACACAAAACTGGACTGTAACATAACACAGTATGCAGAAGCATTGGATTTTATGATTTCCTTTATGTAAATAGCGGTTTAAAAACTGCTTTCGTTTTTGGTGCTTGCTAAGATGTGGCAACCAGCACAGAAAAAAATGACCTGACCCATATAATATCTTCCCCTTATAGTCCTAAACAGCAGTAACTACTGATTCCTTTTGATATTGCTATACTCAAGATGATATCCTTTTATTCACTGTAAACTTTTATGAACTACCAAGTTCAAAAATCATCCACAGGCTTGACATTTAATTACAAAATAAATATGGATTTCCTGATTAACAACAAAAAAATTTTGTGGATTATAAAAACGGTATTTCCAAGTTTCCATTCACATTCACATAGTTTTAAGCCTTTCTTTTTGTCACTGTTTACATATAAAAACCTGCTTTTTGTTCAGAAAAAATTGACCTAGTCAGCCACATGGAATTGACCAATAAAAAGTAATGTGGTGTTCTGCTGAGTTGTTTTGAACAGGGTTATCGGCAGAGGTAGATTACTGCTTCTTTCCTAGGCTTCTTTTGATCCTGGACAGATAAATTACTTATATCTTCATTCTCCCAATTCAACCGCTCAAAAGTATAACACCCTAAAATTGGTCAATTTAAAATGGGAACACAAATTTAGCAACTGCCAGACTGTGTTACATTAAGGCAGCATAATCTCAAAACTAGGCACCTGTTAAACACCAGCCTGTTCACTTCAGGTCACGCATGAGAGTTTTGCTTTACTCGTGCTCATATTTTGGACCTGTTGGTGCAATCAAGGTCTTGCTTTCAAGTTTACAAGTAGGTTAATCAGGAATACAAGAATCGACTGCTGGTTCCATAGCTTCTGGATCCAGTGGCCCTTTACCTTCAGAAGCCTGAACACATTTAGAATGTAACAGATGCTGTCATCTTGAATTAGATGTCAATCGATTATGTTCAGAACACAGATTGCTGTAGATGTATTGGCTATGGATTCAACAACAGTTCCAGTTTTGTTTAAGCAATAGTACAGCCATAATTTTCAACTGACATTTAAAAATGGTCTAGTTACACCTTGTGTCAAAGTGCAGGACTGCTACATTATTGGTTACAGACATCTATGTGCTATAAAAACAGCTTTGGTACAATAAATTATCAAAAAAGAAAATAAATTTTTGTAAAATTCACAGCATAATTGTGAGGCAAAAAAGCAGTCACATAAAATTCTGCATTTTTTAAAAATGTTCAGGATGAACAGAAGACATCTTTGTGCAGAAGAAATGGTGGAGATACCACGTGCCGAGAAAAAAAGCAAAAACGAAACAAAAAAAAACAAAAACAAAAAAAAAAAAACAAAAAAAGTAAAAAGCAGGAAGGGACACAGCTGTAGCTATTTCCATCAAAGCAAACCACTACTTCTGTGACCTTCAACCAATAAGGAAGTCAACTTTATGACACACGCAAAGTGACCTTGCAATACCTTACAATTAGTGGGTCACAAAAGTCTATTTTAAAAGAAAGGCCTCTTGAATTACCCATTCTCTGTGTTTTCAGCATTAAGGACTGTCTGCAAAAGCATGTCCAAAAGTGATTGCATCTGAAATGGTAGGCTCTTCTAATTTCGAGTCCAAATCCATAAGGCCAAAGGTTATCCCAAAGACCACCACTCAGACCTCCCCAGGACTGGCCACGACTGACCCGTTGATTGCTTCTCAGTGCACCTCGGTTAGGAGACCAGTCACGTTCCATTACTATCTACCGTGGCCTCTCCAACAGGAGACCCACGGGATCCCATGTAATTGCTGCTTTGCTCCTCAGTAGGTTCAGACAGGAGAGTTCTGATCCCCGCCACTTAGCATGCTCACTGTGCCTTACAAACAAACTCCAAAACAACCGTCCCTTCCATACAGCTGAAGGTGATGTTTGTGTCAGCTGGAGGTCCCTCTTCCTTACAGTACTGCGTTTCCGTGCCCAAGTGTGTTTAGAGGACTTAAAAACCCAAATTTCCCACCCCCCACCCAAAACAAAACAAACGAGGGGGGGGAGGCGGGTAAAGGGAGGAAAAAGGAAAAAACAAAAAGGAAAAAAAACACCCTCGTGGGGCCCTTTATGCAAATTATGTGCAGTGCCTTTTTATTTTAAAATTAGTTGGCAAATGACCAAGACCAACATCTGAACATTAACTTCTGTGGAACAGAAAAGACAAAAAAACCCACTACGGCTGGGGTGTGGCAAGTTAAAATGGGGGAGGCGAAAAGAGGACACCTCTGCGCTCTCCGTGACGACGGATTTGTGGACATGGCTCTTTGAAAAACTTCATTGTCCCTTTGCAATCTTTTCAAGTTAAAAAAAAAAAAAAAAAAAAAAAAAAAAAAAAAAAAAAAAAAAAAAGAAAAAGAAAAAAAAGTCAGCTTTGCCCTCTTGTAGCGGTTCAGTGTGTTAATCTCCTTCTGATGCAAGCAGCTTTGCACTTTGTTTTTTGGAAAAAAACACCACTTCTATAAAAACACACAAGAAACAAACTCAAGTTTCAATTTAGTCACGAGCTAGCTACAGAACTCTGTTGCACACAAACTCCTGTCATGGGGGACTCTTCTCTGTCAGCTCCTTGCCTCATCGTCAGATGTCCCTCAGTCATGTAATGTGTAGAACCTGTATTAGCAGAAAATTGGTACGCTGAATGTCCAGCTAGGCCAGTCTCTTGGCGGGGATTGGAGTAGACGGTCAAATTAACGTCCATAGCTCCATTCTGTCCAAAGTCCAAGGTGTTAGCAGCCACCGGGCGATTCTGGTAGGCCTGGTTGCCTTGATTACCGGTAGAGGAGGAGGACGTAGAGGAAGAAGTAGTTGAGGAAGACAGGGATGTCATGGAGTGGTGACTATGGCCAACCTCCATAGAATCCTGGGTAGAGGAGCTATTCGTTGGAGAATTGTAGACCCTTGGCCTGGTCCGGTTACCCAAGGCTTGTTGTCCGTGGTGGTGGTGGTGGTGGTGGTGGTGGTGATGGTGATGGGAACTATTTCCATGGTGATGATGCAATGCATTCTGTTGAGGGGCTACATGAAAGGTTGTTTCTTGAACGGGATGAGTTTCAACAGTAACCTGTGTAGGAGCTTCAGTGCCTGACCAACCAAGGGGAGCAGGAAATTGTTGACGCACCTGTAAGAAGATTTTCAAAGCATTTATTCAGAGTACTGTTTCCAAGCTTTACTTAATCTTCAATCGAAAGCTAGGACACCAGCATTTATGTTAATGAGAGAGAGGGGATTTTTGAAACTTTTAATGTGTCAGTTCTAGAACACAAAATCCCGGGCCGCCTGGGTGGCTCAGTAGGTTGAGCATCCGACTTTGGCTCAGGTCATGATTTCACCGTTCGTGAGTTTGAGCCCCGCCTCGGGCTCTGTGCTGACAGCTCGGAGCCTGGAGCCTGCTTGGGATTCTGGGTCTCCCCCTTTCTCTCTCTGCCCCTTCCCCGCTCTCTCTCTCTCTCTCAAAATTAAACATTAAAAACAAAAAAATTAGAACGCAAAATTCCAAGTTATGTTTGAGTGAACCAGTATTTTACTGTGAAAGCTGCAATTTTTAGCAAGCTATACCCATAAACAGGCTCATGTATTTCACTGGCCACTTTCTTTCCTGGGATGCATTGTTTATGCCAGGGATCAGCAAACTTTTTCTGGAAAGGATCAGATAATAAACATTCTTGACAGGTTCGAAATGAATTCCTGGCTTTCCCGTAAAGCCCCTCTTCTCTCCATCTTTCCCGTTTCAGTAAGAGCACTCTTTTCATCAGCGGCTCAGTAACTCCTGCATCCACACCATCAGCAAGTACCATGGAGCGTGCCTTCGAAACGGCTCCAGCCTGGCTGCTTCCCTGGTCTCCACCACCATCCCTTCTCCCAGGCTCCTACCGTCCACCGCTCACCCACACTGCACAACCGCCTCCTAAATCAGCTCCCAGCTTCCATCCTTGTGCCTTTTTTCCAATCCATTCTTCATAACAAGAAAAATCTTCTCAAAACACAAATCCAATCACTTTCCTATTTAAATTCAAATCCTTTAATGATTTCTCCGTGCACTTATTAGAAAAACAAAATAATGCAAAATCCATAGGTGGTCTGCCTCGGGGGCCACCGTTCGTCTCGCCAACCTTGTCCTCCAGCCATCCTTCCTCTTGCTACCTGGGCTCCAACACCGGGTCCTCCTCCTATTCCTCCACCCGGTAGTCGTATCTTTCCAACGTCTCAGGGCATCTGTGCCTACTGTTCCTTCCTGCCTAAAATGCTCTGACTTCTAATTTCTGCTCGGGTGCTTCCTTCCCATTTCGGTTCGAGTCTTCTCTGACCACTCTGGCTGACACTGCCTCAACTCCTGTGGCAGCAGCTACCAGCTGTCCACGTGGCGGCACTACACCTCCCAGCCTCCCCCGTGCTCAGGTATGGCCACGGGACTGAGTTCTAGTCCGTGCAACACGATGAACGTTTTGATGTTTTTATGTCATGGCCGGACCTGGCCCACCAACACCTCCCACATCCCGCCTGGTGGATGCCAGCAGACAGCCAGGCCCTAAGGGCCGGAGTTATTCGCCCAGGACACAGGAGACAGCCATGCCACTGACCTGAAAGCCCTCCCGGGACCGCTACCCAAAAAAGAGACGTCATACTCCCTTTGGCTACCATATTTTGTGGGGTCTATTATCAGCCTGGCTTACTCAAATCCTCATGCATCCCACCCAACAAATCGCCATCCTAGATCACATCCTGATCCCTTTTATCAGCAGTACTTGCAATTTCTATTAATTTGACTCATTTTGTTTATCTACTCTGTCCTTATGAGCTGGAAAATATGTCTTTTACCAGGAGCTGACATAAAGCGTTTCTTTCTCAGCGGAAGTGGTCTGGAGAATCAAACTTTAAGACACACCACTGAAAACAATCCAGGAGAAAAAGAGGCAGAAAGTTCTCAGAAAATACTGACGGCTCTTAAACTACAACACTACTCAAATTCATGTATAAATAGAAAATAAGCAGGGTTGCCTGGGTGGCTCAATTGGTTAGACATTGGACTCTTGATTTCGGCTCAGGTCATGATCTCACGCTGGGATTGACCGCATCGGCTCTCCAGAATTGCGTGAGCCTCCTGCTTGGGATTCTCATTCTCTCTCTCTCTCTCTCTCTCTCTCTCTCTCTCTCTCTCTCTCTCTCTCCTCTCTGTCTCTTCCATAAAAAGTAAATAAACTTAAAAAAAATTTTTTAAAGAAAAAAGAAAAACAAATAAGCAAAATAAAAATATCTTCTGTCCAATACCATTTTTCATTTCAGACTGATCAAAGGTGATCACCCCCCCCCCGATTGTTTCTCCAAAGTCTTGCTGGTGGAAGGCTACACTGGCAAAACTAAATGGAGAGCAATTGACAGCAATTATAAAATTTACAGATCACATCGCTCTCTGACCTGCGATTTCACATTTAGGGGTTCCTATCACAGGTATACTTAATGTGTATGAGTGATAGGTCTGTGGCATTCTACCATCATCTGTAATAGTAAAAAAGACTGGAAATTAACAGGGGAAATGACTTATGGAATATCTAAACACGGGAGTATCATGTGAAGAAAAAGGAAGAAAAAGTTCTCCAGGTACTGATGTAGAAAGAGCTCCAAATATATATTAAAAATACACATAAAACATATAACGACCCCCCCCAAAAAACAAGCAAAAAAACAAACTCAAAACATCAACTTGTGCATGGCACGCTATCGTTTGTGTACAAAGATTAGGAATCTATATCTGTATGTGGATATGCATACAATATCTCAAAAAGGATACAAAAACCAATAGCGACATTTAAGTGAAGGTCTGAAGTGTAAGTGGCAGTGACCAAAGCCGAGAGAGGGGAAAAGTGTTCCAGGCTGAGCACAGAACATGTGAGAAACAAGAAAGAACGTGGTATATTCCAAAAAAATGACAAAAATCCAGTAAGACCAGAGCAAATAAACAGGAGAAAGAATGCCCTGAAAAGGACCAGACCATGGCAATCACTGAGACCTTCGCAGGAAGTCTAAATTCCCTTTTAAGTACAAAGGAAAAGCCAAACACTGGTTTAAAGTAGGGAAAAGCCGCATCAGACTGCTTTACTGAATGTTCATGTGCCTGCAGAGAAGAAAATGGCGTTGACTGCTGAATGGAGTTAGATGCTGGAAGACCAGGTTAGAACATTCTTTATAGTAAGGCGGGCTGGAGACGGTTGTAGCAATGGGATGAAGTGAAGAAAATAAAAGCACATCGAGGATATTCAGAATTCACACAATTTACTACTTGATTCAACTGTGGGATGAGGGAAAAGACGAGTCAAGGATCAGCTCCCCAACCTAACCCCCAGGTGTAAGGCTTGAACAAATGGGTGAATCCAGGGCCATCTGTACGAGGAACACAAAAGAGAAACAGAGGCCCAGGGCTCAGGAGCGAGGTCCAGGTCAGAAATGAAGCTGGAGGAGGGACCTGTGCCAAGACGGTACTGAGGCATCAGACAGGGTGGGCGAGGTCAACCGGCAAGTGGGCAAGCCTTGGGAACATCCGTGTCTACAGGGTGGGCAGAAGAGAATCCAGAAAAAGAGACAGGGAAGGAAAGGCCAGACAAGTGAGGGAAACTCAGGGGGCATCCTGTCAAGGGAAAAGGAGGGAAAGTGCTTCAAAGGGCAGGGAGGAGCCAAAATTGTCCACGTGGGTGAGGAACAAAAAAAGACAAGCCTCTGAATGCCCGGCACCGGCCTCCTCAGTGGCGGCCGCAGGTGACACTTGCAGCAACGGTGTCCCCCACCGGAGCAGACCGAGGAACTCTTCACGGGCCCAACACAGCCACCACAGGCTAGCACGACGTAGGGCCAAACAGACACCAGACAGACACGGGCCAGGAGGAGGGCTGGCTCCAGCTGGGAGAGACCTGGGGGGATCAGATGCTGACAGAAGAGAATCAAGCAGACCCAGGAGCCAGAGGCTGAGCAAAAGGTCAGTTTCTAAAAAGAATAGAAGGGGCATTGGAAACAGTGCCTACAGAGAACGGGGGAGACACGAGGTGATGGTGCCTACAGAGAACGGGGGAGACACGAGGAATGGCGAGCCCGCCCAGAAGCTGGGCACTAGGAACTGGCAACGACACCGACCATGCCAGCTTGCTGCTTGTGGTCTTCTCCCGCAGTGCCCAGCAGCCCCAGCCACGAGAATGGGGCGTGATATTCAGCAACCTGTCCTGACTTCGCTTTTACCAAATGATACGCCGGCCCCTCGTCACATAGCACCGTGACACAGTGCCCAGTGTGAGTTAGTATTTTACAAAGAGTATTTCATAAATATTTTTACTACCAATATCTGCTTCATCCCATTAAAAATACCCGATTACAGCCTCTTCTTTAACACATTTCAAAAACAAACGAGGGGGGCCTGCATGGCTGTCGGTTGAGTGCCCAACTTCGGTTCAGGTCACGATCTCACCGTCCGTGAGTTCGAGCCCGCCCCGTGTCGGGCTCTATGCTGACAGCTCGGAGCCTGGAGCCTGCTTCAGTGTCCTGTGTCTCCCTCGCTCTCTGCCCCTCCCCGCCTCAGTCTCTGTCTCTCAAAAGTAAATAGATATTAAAAACAAAAGCAAAAGCAAAAAAAAAAACCCCAAATAACCCCAAAACAACATGGAGGTGAGAGACCACAAACTGATCCGGAATCAAGGACCATTAGCGACCAAAGATCACAGGAAGCGGTCGGAGCACAGTAATGAAGAGCACAAGCCAGGGAAAGTTACTGAACCCATCAAGGGTCAGTTCCCAAAGTTAAAAAGGAAACTCGAACAGTGTTAAGGCTCCAAGTGCTACTGTCGTAAATGAGATAAACACAGCGAATAACAACTGGAACAGTGGCTGGTATGCACCCAAGAAATGTTAGCTGCTTCTACATAACGAGGGAGAAAACTGCAAAGACGTGCTTCCGTAGTTACGGACAGGGCACAATTCTCTACACACGTGGAAGCTACTGAGACCCCGTGGAGTAAACGACACGACCATCGGAAATGCGCTTGGCGCCCACCGCGGCCCCGGCCGGCTGCTGCGGGGCCGGGCCTCCACGGTGGGGAGCTCACCTGGGGACTGTGAGTCTCACAGTCCATGGCCTGGACGGCAGCTGTGAAGTGCCCGCCGCTGTGCCGGTGCTGGTGCGTCGGGTCTGACCTGGCTCTCCCACTGTTGCTCGTCCCCGACGATCCACCTTCGGGATCACAACACAGTACTTGTAAGTCTGAAGTTAACTTTGCTCAAGTATGTTTTCCAACACTCACTTAACACCGAAGGTACGGCATGCACAAAAAGCTGTATGAACCTCAAAGCGTATCAGGAAGTCATCCAATTCTCTTAAGTTCTTTCACACCGACCAGTGAACTAATACACGACAGTCTGGTTTGGGTTAAGTCAGGGGAAAGTTCAAGCACGTGAACAAAGTATTTCTACTTAAGAAACCAAAGGAAAACTTTGGCTAAGAGGGGCGCCTGTGGGGCTCAGTCGGTTGAGCGCCCAACTTCGGCTCAGGTCATGATCTCGCAGTCTGTGGGTTCGAGCCCCGTGTCGGGCTCTGTGCGGACAGCTCAGAGCCTGGAGCCCGCTTCGGATTCTGTCTCCCTTTCTCTCTGCCCCTCCCCTGCTCATGCTCTGTCTCAAAAATAAATACAAACATTAAAAAAAAAAATTTAAAAAAAAAAAGAAAGAAAGGGTTTCATTTCCAACTGCCAAGCAGAATTTATCACGGGTAATTAAGTATCAGAGTTTGGGGACAGGTGAAATGTTTTACTAACTACAAAGGGTAGATTTAGGTAAAACAATTCCTCCCTATCCCCACAACCAATTCTTCAAAGACTTTACAGTAACCCCCACCTTGGAACAAAAATAAGAAACGCTTCCAGGCCTCCCCGAGTATCAGAAGGACCGACCTGAGCTGGAGGACGTGCTGGAGGTGGTTCCGGAGGACTGTGACTGCTCCATCGCGGGACTCGTGGACACGCTGTTACTTGTGTTTGTACCTTCGTCAGCTGTCTTCTTGAAAAAACTGTGCTGCAGGGCATAGTAAGGTTGAATTCGAGTTTTGGGGTCATAATCAAGCATCCTTAAAATGAGGTCTTTGAACTTCAAGTAGTCAGCCACGGTATGACCCGATTCCCCAGCACGACGCCCACCAGGTCCTCCTGTTTCTACTCCGAGAATATTATGAAGTTTACGGGTTCCTGGTGGTTTATACTCCTGAAGAGAAGAAAGATAAAAAAAAAAAAAAGCTTTCTCTAAATGTGATGGAGTATGTAAAAGCCTGCATAACTTCAAATATGCTTAAATATGTTATATATTGAGACCTTTATTAAAAAGAACGCTTTATACTCAGATTCTCTGGATTTTCACACATTACTATTCCAAATGCGCTTGTTGTTGGAGAAATTCAAAATAATTTCAAGACCAAAAATGACTATAAAGACCATGTAGCCCAGGGGTCAGCAAACAAAGGCCTAGCCTGGGCTGTTTTTCTATAGCTTCAGCTATGAATGGGTTTTATATTTTTAAAGGTTGTAAAAACAAACAAACACAACCACATAATATGCAATAGAAGCCCAGAAAAGCCTTAAGCTTTTACCTTCTGGTGCGACCGCTGCTCCGGCCCAGTGGTCTGAATCGCTTTTCTGCCTGATACACGTGACCTTGGATGCACTTCCTTTCCTAACAGTGGCTCTCCAAAGCTGTGGTAATCACTCCAAGTGAAGATTCACTGGTTTAACCCTACACGCTCGGATTTACCGTTCTCATTTCGTTTATTTATTTTTTTTAATTTTTTTTAACGTTTTATTTATTTTTGAGACAGAGAGAGATAGAGCATGAACGGGGGAGGGGCAGAGAGAGGGGGAGACACAGAATGGAAGCAGGCTCCAGGCTCTGAGCCATCAGCCCAGAGCCCGACGCGGGGCTCAAACTCACGGACCGCGAGATCGTGACCTGAGCTGAAGTAGGACGCCCAACCGACTGAGCCACCCAGGCGCCCCTCGTTTATTTTTTTAAGTAATCTCTACACCCAGTGTGGGGCTGGACTCATGACCCCAAGACCAAGAGTTGCATGGTCTTCAGGCTGGGCCAGCCAGGCGCTCCCCCACCACTTTCATATTTAGATAAAGAAATTAAAAGCATTTAGAATATGCTGAGTAATAAATTAACACGTGTTGAGATTTTTCTGAAAACTCCTTTTTTAATAGATGGTGGTAGAACCCTTAAGACGCTTATGAATATTGAATTTATTCAGAATGGCATCACCGATTTTTGCTTCTAGTGACAATGCAGAAATTCGTAAGAGACCACAGCTCTCACTCTGAAAGCAAAAACAAGCCAGCAAGTAGGCCACAAAATCATTCCATTTAAAAAACCCATCTGAGTGCCAAGAACTAAACAAATCAGAGTTGACTGAATTCCAGAAAATGAGAAGCCCTTTCTAGGAGAGAAGAGACCTAAGGTGAGGGAAGGAGCAAATGCCAGAGATGTGGGTAAGAAGAATCCAGCCCAACTCTGAACCAACTCCTGGCAGTGTGGACGGGCCAAAGGCGGAGGGCAGGCGGAGAGCCCAGACATGAGCCCCCAGGGAACTGAGCAGCAGGACGGACAGACTGCCTGGGGCAGCAGGGCTGCAGAGAGAGCACTCAGGTCTCCACAGACACTGCTTAAAACCTAGGAAGACAGTGGAGAACAGAATCTGGGTGGAGCGAACAAACAAACAAAGCAAGGCCCAGATTCAGGTCAGCCACAAAGGAGATGGACGGAGTCCCATATGACAGAGTAAGAGGTGCATCGCTTTCCGGAGGGAGGGTTTACTTCCATCACAACTGTTCTCAGATACGAAGTCCAGCGTGCATTTAAAAAACGACAGACACAAGAAATTTTAAAAAAGATGGGTCCATAATCAAAGTGAAAAAATTAGTCAGAAGACCCACATAAGTAAACCACCCAGATGCTGAAACTGGCAGGCCGGCATTACAAATAACCATGATAAACAAACAGGTAAAAGAATTTAGTTCAAAAGGTGCACATGTGTGAATAGATGGGGGGGTTACAGAAGACCAAATGAAACCTTTCCCTGAAAGGTAAGTGGAAATGCGGAAATGTTAGAACTAAAATATGCAATATCAGAAATCAAGAATTCACGTAATGGTTTTAACAGCAGACTGGACTCAGCAGAAGAAAAAAAAAAATCAGTGAGTCAGAAGACAGAGCAAAGGAATTATCCAAACTAAAACAAAAGAGAAAACAGCATGAACAAACTGGAGACCTCTGAGATCATGCTGAGCCTGTCACACACATTTCAGTAGAGGACCAGAAGGAGAAGAAAGACTGAAGCAACAGATACTGGAAAAGATACAGTCTTAGGAAAAACTGACGAAAGCGATCAACCCACAGACCCAAGAACTTAGCAACTCCAAGGAAAATAAATACAAAGAAAGCTATACCTGGAGGCCTAAGAGTCAAATTATTGAATAACTGAACAAAAACAGAAAACATTAAAATCAGCCAGAAGGAAGGGGGAAAGGGAGAAACATTACATATAGGGAAGGACACTTAGAAAAGCCACTGGCTTCTCTTTAGAAACAACGTGATACACAAAGCAATGTTATAACCTCTTTTCTCTTTTGCTGAAATGTCAACCTAGAATTCTACATCCATGGAAATGTCCATTATCTTCCTTAAGAAAGTAAATAAAGATATTTTCAGATAAACAACTGCTGAGAGACACCATCAGCAAAAGTTATTCCCTACAAAATAAAAAAGTTAGACGAAGTTCTTCAGGCCGGAAGCCAAGAAGGGTGGGAAGGAATCAAGAACATACATAGGTAAACAGAAAAGACCTTTTTAGTATCTTTATTTTGTGTGTGTTTCAAAATTTCTTTAAAAGTCCCTTTTTTTTTTTTCAACGTTTATTTTTTTTATTTATTTTTGGGACAGAGAGAGACAGAGCATGAACAGGGGAGGGGCAGAGAGAGAGGGACACACAGAATCGGAAACAGGCTCCAGGCTCTGAGCCATCAACCCAGAGCCTGACGCGGGGCTCGAACTCACGGACCGCGAGATCGTGACCTGGCTGAAGTCGGGACGCTTAACCGACTGCGCCACCCAGGCACCCCAAAAGTCCCTTTTTATTTAAGCAGTCGATGTGTCTGCTGTGAGGGTTATAACATATGCAGAAGTGATGTATGATGCCACGTGCACAAGAGGTAGACAGTTAGACAAAAGGGCATGCTTGATCGAGTGGTGTTACGTGAACGTCAACTGATGCATTAAGGGTACATATAACACTAAAAATTACACACAGGGTAAGAGCTAAAGGGTCAAGAGAGGAGATGAAATAAAATACCAGAACACCAGAAAGTACTCCACTAACCCAAAAGAAGGCAGGAAAGAAGGAATGGGGGAAAAAGGTGAGACAGAGAACAAATATAACAGTTAAAACCTAAACTTCCGAATAACTAAATGGGTTAAAAACTGAACGTGAAAAAAAGAGACTATCTGACTGGATTAAAAGGCTTGACAACTAAATGTTGCATACAAAAGCCGTATTTCATATATAAATACAGACAGATTTGACGTTAAAGGGCACAAAAAGTACAGACTATGAAAATGTTACGAATAAGAAGGTTGGTACAGATAGTGTAATACCAGACAAGTCTGACTTAACAATTAGAAATATTACTAGAGATAAAAAGAGACATTTCATCATAATGAAAAAGTCAATTTATCACAGTCACAACAATACTAAATGGGTACACACCTACTAAGAGAGCTTTGAAACACATAAAGCAACAAAAGGGAGATTAAGACAAATCCAGAATTATCACTAAAGGTTAACATTCCCCTCTGTCATTGATAAAACAAATATCCACAGGCAGACACATGTACACACACATATAAAATAAGGATGTAAAAGATATGAAAAAAAAAAATCGAACAACCTGACCTATACTGACATCGGTAGACCACTACACCAAACAACTGTATAAAATGCAATTCTTCGCAACGGCACACAGGACATTCACAAGGTGAGATTACCTGCTATATTCTAAAACAAGTCTCAATGAATTTCATTTAAAGGAGTGAAATCATGTTTTCTGACCCATGATGCTATTGAATTAGAAATCAGCTAACAATAAGATACCTAGAAAATCCTCAAATATTTTGAAATTATACAACAACATTCTAAATAACAATGAGTAAAAAGAAATCACAAGGGAAATTCGAAATGTTTCAAAATCAATGAGACTTAAAATATTTCAAAAGTTGCTGCATGCAGCTAAAGCAATAGTTAGAGGGACATTTATACCATTAAATGCTATGAGAAGAAAGTTTTAAATGAATGATCTAAGGTTCCACCTTCAGAAGCTAGAAAAAGCAAATTTAGCCTAAAGTAAGGAGAAGAAAAAGAAATAACAGAGAAAAGCACCAGTGAAATAGAAACAAGACGAAGCAACAGTAAAAACAAAAGACTGGTTGTTTGAAAAGACTGGCAAATTTGACAACCACTAGCAAGAGTAACGGGAGAAAGGAGAAAACAGGAATGACCGATATTAGGAATACAAGAGAGACTGTATCACTACAGATCCTCTAGAAACTACAAAGATAATAATGAAATATCAGGGGTCATTTTATGCTGACAAAGCCAACAACTTAGATGAGGACAAGTTGCTTGAAATCCATACCTACCAAAATGGACTCAAAAAAGAAACTCCAAATAGCCACATATTTACCAAAAAATGTGAGCTACAATTAATAACCTTCTAACAAAGAACATCTCCAGTCCTGACAGCTTCATCGATGAACTCTATTAAACATTTACAAAAGAAATAATGCCAATCTTATACAAACTCTTTCAGAAAAATCAAGAAAGAATACTTCCCCAATAGTTTTATGAGACCAGCAGAATCCTGGGATCAAAACCTAATGAAGGCATTATATTAAACTTTTAGACAAATATTCCTACCAATGTAGACTAGCAAACTGAACCCAGCAATATGTAGGAAGTGTGGTTTATCATAGGTTGAGCTTAATATTCTAAGAGTTATTGATGTATTTTACCACGTAACAGGGAAAAAAACCACATGATCATCTCTACAGGTGCAGAAAGCATGTGACAACATTCAAAACCCACCCATGATTTAGAAAAACAAACAAGCAAGACACTTCCCTAAAAACACAGGAAACTACTCCTTCAAGCCGACAGAGCTACAAGACACACACACAACGAGCACCATACTTAAATCGGTATGCTTTCCCACAAGATTGAGAACGCGGGGAGATGTCCGTTCTCACCAAAACTGCTCAATATGCGGAGGTCCTAGTCAGTATGATAAAACAAGAAAAATAAATAAAGGCATACAGATTGAAAGAATAAGACTGTTCATTTGTGGAGGATGTAAGTAGAAAGCCCTACAGAATCTAAAAACAAATAAAAAACTAGAACAAATAGGTAAATGTAGCACGATCTTAGGATACGAGTTACTATACAAACTCAATTCTATTTCCACATATTTTCAATGAGAAAGTAGAAAACAATACTTTAAAAATGACATTTAATGACATTTAACGATACTTTAAAAATTGTATCAAAAAATCAGAAATTAAATAAAATGAACTAAAACTATGTGTGAAATTTCTGCATTAAGCCCTACAAAATGTTGTTGAGAAGAATGAAAGACTAAATAAATGGATAAACCATGATCACAGACTGAAGACACAATACTGTTAAGATGTCCACTCTCCTGGATGGACCCTTAATGCAATCCAAACAGAAACTCCAGCAAGATTTTTTTTTTTTTTTTTTTTACAGACTTATAAGCTGATTCTAAAATCTCTACATAAATAAAAAGGACCTGGGGAACAGGGAGGGGAAAAAAAAAACTGAAACGGAAGAAAAGATGCTGGTGAATTTACACTACCTGCATTGGGGACTTCCCACACGGTACAGAACCAGCACTGTCGTACCGGTTCAAGGACTGACAAAGCAATGTAACAGAACAGGGTGCAAATACAAGCCCGCACAAAAAAGAACAGTAACTGAATAAAAGCACCCAGATTGACGGGGAAAGGCAAGTATCCAACAAACGATGCTGTAACTCTAAGGAGGCATCTGGGGGTGTGAACATCAACTCCTACACCTCATTCCATCCCTAAAACTTAATTCGAGATGAACCCCAGGACTAACCATAAAAGCTAGGATCAAAAAATCTTTTAAAAGAAAGCACAGAATACCCTCACAAACTTGAGGAAAGCAAAGATTTCTTCAGATACAAAGCCTTCACTAAAAAAAGTTGACAAATTTGATTTCATTTGAAAATAGTAAAATTTCCCACTCATCAAAAAAACACCACTAAGAAAAGAAATAGTAAACTACAGTCCAGGGAAAAAATATGGACACATGTATGACGAAGCACTTATATTCATTATGTGTAAAACAAAAACAAAAAAAACTCCAACTCAGTTAAACAACTCAACAATAAATGAGTAAAAGACTGGAAAGATGGTCACAAAAAAAGCTCTACGAATGCTTAAAAAGCACATACCAGTGCTCGCTTCGGCAGCACATATACTAAAAAGCACATACCATTAGTCATGGGGAAATAAATGCAAATGAAACCGCTACGTACGTTCGCCCGTCAGAATGGCTAATTTCAGAAAGAGAGACCACGTCAAATGGGGAGGATGTCATACAACTAGAACCCTCATACTCAGTAGGGACGTAAAATGATGAAAAAATTTGGAGAACTGTATTTTCTCATGAAGATCAACACACATATACCCTATGACCTGGCAATTCTACCTCTAGGCAATGACCCTAGAGAAATGACAACATGTGTGTACAAAAGATTTATGCAATAATGTTCCCAGAGCCCTTATTCATAATAGTTCCAAACTGGAAACAACCCAAATGTCCACGGACAGGTACATACAGATCAACGACAACATTTTAATTCGATAGAATACTATGAAGCAGTAAAATGAAATAACTGTTGACACACACAATAGGCATGAATTTCCAAAAATGATGTTTGTTAAAGTGAAGGAAACAAAACAGTAAATACTATAGGACTACATTCATATGAATTTTGCCTATGAACAGGCAAAAACTAACCTAGGACGAGAGAAATCAGAAACTAGGGGTGGGATGACAAAGGGTCACAATAACATTCTGTTATCTTATTCTAGCTAGTGGTTACATTATTGTATCTAAACTATACTTCAACAAATCAGCATCTTAATTCTTCATTCACTTTCCCCACCAAAAACACATACACAGAGTATAGATATCATTACTAGGCAGCTAAAAGGGGCTCTTGACACATAGGTGAGAAATTACAAGTAAAAATAAAATCACTGAGAAAATAAACAGTACAAAGATACCCAACGACAGCACACGCAATGAGTTCATACTTATCGTTAAACTCCCGAGTGTAGCCTTCATAAAGTAATCGTTTGGTTCTGGATTTGAGTTTTTGGTTGGTGCAAAACTTACCTATGTCCGAAGACAAATACTTATTTTATACTTTAAGTTTCTTAAATGAGTTGCTAATTGCAACTAAGGGAAATCTCATAAAACCTACAGTTAAGTAAGAGTTATTAAATACAGGTTAAGATACTTTCAGTTTTAAGAAGGGAAAAGATTTATCTACTCTTTTCTGAAATGCACCCCCCCCCCATAATTTTGTTAAAAAGTAATTATAGCTCAGTTTGGGAGAAATGATAGGTTTCAGCCCATAGTAGCTTCACTGTGGTTTTATAAGGCAGAGATATGCATGGGATGGGATGAATGTTTTCTTTAGAAAAAAAGAAAACACTGGCGGATAAAAAAAACAACAAAAAACAAAAAGATTCCAAATGGAGAAAGCAGTAGCCGCCTGTACTGCGGAGAGAGAAAACACAAAGGAGGTTTCATGCCCTCCAACTCTATTTGAAATCGACTGGCTAGAGCTACCTTGAATGCTGGTGAAGCTAAGGATCCCCAGGCTGTGCTCTGGTTCAAGGGGAAAGGGGCCATGACTGAGAAGCTCGCTCCGTGGATAAAGGCAAAAGGAGTCAGGATGCTTGTGTGGTGTTTGCCATCCCTTCCTTAGCGGGAGGAGGCTGACTGTGGCTGCCAGATATTGCCCTGCCTAGAGCTCAGAGAATAAGGCAGAGTGCAGTAAGTTACAATCAGGTATGAAAGATACAATTACGGATGTATTTTTAAATCTTCTAAAGAAAATCGTTTGGTATTAAAAGCCTACGTGAAGGTGAATTAAAGCCAAGAACCATCATCTTCAGTTCACTGGAAAGGACACCTGGTGGCAGCATCGCTAAAATGCAAAATACAAAGTGGCGCGGAAATCGTCCTAAGTGGCAACAACGTGTTTAAACTACAACCCCAAGGTGTCTGGTGCAAAGATCACACACCATCGGGTATTGATACATCACGTTCATCTTACACCAGAGACAAACTAGATTACAAAACACATGATTATTTTCACATTTATATAAAACAAAAAGTAGATCAGGATGCGAAACTGCCATCGTTCACTCTGTTAAACTGACGCAGTCTAGCGATCTGAAACCAGAAGAAAATTACTACAACAACCTAACATTTTGAAAACCTTAACCGCAAGGGTTTTGGACTGACATCCCTGCCGTCCATGCCACCGAGCTAGGAACCAGAACTGAAATCTGCCGAAGGATTACGGAGTCGGTTGATATTCTTGCCACAAATCGCCCAAGTCAAAAATTCTTTTCTCCCGTCGGAACTAATTGTTTTGAAAAAGCCGTTTACTGCAATCCTGACCTCTACTGCCCACAGCTGCAGTACTGTTTACTGTGACGTGGTTATATACACTCACTGTGACAGACAGAGGCTGAACTTTCGGATTCTACTGCTGAAATGAGGCACGGTGATTTGATCAGCTGTGTCACACGGTAGACATACGGTTTCCAACGTGAAGCCTTAACTCTGCCCATTAAACACACACTCGTCCATACAGACAGTCCAGGGCAAACTATACCCAACTTTTGAAGAAAGCAGACGCCTAGGTTATTAATGAAATTGTTAACGGAGACACTGATTTCAAGTGAATACAAAGTGAGCTACCAACAGCTGCGGTGAAATAAGTAACACAGGCTAAATAAATATATATGTAAAAATATAAATAAATAAATCAAGTTTCCCTATTTTACCCGTTTTCCATCTTTGGTCTTCTTTAAGTTCCAAGTGCCATCTGGCAACTTCTCAAAGAACTTTCTTGCTTTTGGTGCTTGGTCAAGAATGTGAGCAGGTGGAATACTCAGAACTTCCACTATTTTATTCATCTGATCTACCTGTATTAAAAATAAAAACAAAAACGCCTGTAACTTCTACGGTAGTACATCCTGCTTCTCCTCACCAGTTCATTCGTTCATCCATAAATTTTATTATTTTCTTTTTAAATTTTTTTGTAATGTTTTATTCATTTTTGAGACAGAGAGAGACAGAGCATGAACAGGGGAGGGTCAGAGAGAGAGGGAGACACAGAATCGGAAACAGGCTCCAGGCTCTGAGCTGTCAGCACAGAGCCCGACACGGGGCTCGAACCCACAGACCGTGAGATCATGACCTGAGCCGAAGTTGGATGCTCAACCGACTGAGCCACCCAGGCGCCCCTCATCCATAAATTTTAAACAGAGCATCTTGTGCGTGTCAGGCACTCCTCTTAGGCATTGAGCACACGATAATGAACAAAAGAGATACAGTCCCTGCCCTCCTGGAGCCCACCATTCCACACAGGGCAGGGCAGACAATTAAACAAATGAACACGTAAAATCAAATAACCATCCAAAAAAAAATCCCACAGGCTTAATAAAGTGTGGACCAAATAAAGTATACTTTTAAGTGCAGGTTCATTCACTCAAATACCAAGTGTCTCCTATATGCTAGAAGCCATGCTCAGTAGAACATAGCAGTAAACAAAACAGATTAAAAAAAATCCCTGCCAAAAAGTTCGTATGATAGGGGAAGAGATCACTAATGAACAAACACATAATGAAATACATTATGTCAGATGACGACGAAGAACCATGAGGAAATTCAAAGATGGAGGGTGAGAAGGGGCACTGCAACCGAAAGCAGGGTGTCACCAGGAAGAGGGTATGACAGCAAAGACCCAGGCAGGGAGGGAAGGAGCCACGCGCTCCCTGGGGAAAGGGCATTTCAGGCACGGAGAAGCACTAATGCAAAGGCCTTAGTACTATGGGCCTGTGGCTACGGTTTCCAAGGGACCACAGAGTAAGGCTGCGTGCTGGTCCAGAGAGAGTGAGGGGAGGCAAGGTCGTAGAGAGAGCGCTGGAGTCACAGGGAATGGGGGATTCTTTGAACCACTCAAAGAACTTGGCTCTTACAATGGGTGAGGTGGAAGCCACTGAAGTTTCACATGATTTAATAAAATACAGTTAATTGTATCTCATTATGTTTTAGTTAGAATTCATACAATTGAATTTAATACTGTGTAAGCTCATGAGAAAGATCCTGATTTACAGGATAATATTAAGGATAACAAAACAATACCAAACACACACTATGCCAGTTACTGCCCAGGACTAGCTCACTACTCCTGTAGTTCAAGTGAATTAAAAGCATGGAAGGGACAAGTTTCCGACGCCATATTAAGAGTTGTATAGGGGCGCCTGGGTGGCTCAGTCGGTTGAGCGTCCGACTTCGGCTCAGGTCACGATCTCACGGTCTGTGAGTTCGAGCCCCGCGTCAGGCTCTGGGCTGATGGCTCAGAGCCTGGAGCTTGCTTCCGATTCTGTGTCTCCCTCTCTCTCTGCCCCTTCCCCGTTCATGTTCTGTCTCTCTCTGTCTCAAAAATAAATAAATGTTAAAAAAAAAAATTAAAAAAAAAAAAAAGAGTTGTATAACCCTGTGTAAGTCATGGTCTTTCTTTTCTTATTTATAAATGCATGGACTGATCAAGATCTGTAATGGTTAACTTTTCTTCAAAACACAAAAAAACCCACAAGGTTTTAAAGCTAATGGAAGTCCAATTCCTCTGACTACAAGAGAGCATGGCCTCTCCCGTGCCCTCCTAGGCACTGCCTCTGACTTTCCAACACCTTCTGAGAACAGACCGGAAACCCATGAATTAAAAGAATTACATATAGCCTGTAGCTCTAAAATTCTATAATCGTAATTCACCCTAAATTACTCAGATCAAATCTCATCAAGGCTGCCAGCCATCACTTCTTAAATTCTAAATCGTACCCTCAAAATTTACAGCAATGTTGACACTGTTTTCATAGTGGCCCTCGTGCCTTTGTTACCTTTTTCTGTTATATTATACTTAAAATCTGTAACATTTAAACCAAAATGTGTAACATTTTCTAATCTAACTTATTGTTCTCCTTATTAGCAGATGAAAAGATCTCGCTTCCCATCTCAAAATCCTAAACTCACCATTATAAGAATTGAAAAACTTTTTAAATGAACAATATAAATTCAAAACTGACCCAACATTTGAATATTTAACTTGATTATAAGCAGACGTCTTTTCCTAAAAAAAATTTTAAGATTACACAAAGATTAAAAACAAAAGGGAATTATGAAAACAGAAACAGAATTTAGAAAGCAATCATCATATACCTCATTGGCTCCACTGAACAGAGGTTCTCCAGTGTGCATTTCAACCAAAATACACCCAAGGGACCACATGTCGATAGCAAGGTCATAAGGCATTCCCAGTAGCACCTCTGGAGACCGATAAAAGCGACTCTGAATATACTGGTATATCTGAAATATATTGCAATATCATATTAAATTCCAACATAAGTTGTGTTTAATTGTGCTCAACACTGAATTAAGAACATTTATCTGGTATCAACAGAAAAAATAATTGGCTAACTCCTAAGTTGGGGTTCCATTTACTGATTTCACCTTTATGCTACAAGTATCATCTAAACAAACATTTCAAGAGAGTGGTTAATCACACTGTGAAATGCAAAACATACAATTCAAGCCCTTTCATTTAGTCCAATCCTAACTGGCAATCAAGATACACCTTAAAACAATTATGTTTTGTTAGAAAAAAGACATTATTGAGAATAGGGTCTCCCTATTAATTACTCTTTCCTGCCATGGATAGCACTTGGTTTGCCACTAATTTAAGGACTAAACTGTATTTTAATTAACCTACAGAATGTACTTCAGCATCAAGTCAAATAAACTCAGTACAATGTAAATGAAAATTCAGACATCTATTACTGTACTGGTTTCACAGACGTATCTGAGAAACACCCCCATATAAAATGCAACCGGAGGTCATTCCTGATCAATCACTTCTTCTCTGCCCTGTCCTCCTCCACCTCCATTTGAGAATTCTTAGGGAAAAAAATCTTGAAATGGATAATTTTCAATGAAGTAATCTGAGAATGTCCCTAGAGACCAATTCATTTTCAGCCATCATAAATTTGTATTTAGAAACATCAGGAAAGCAAACAAAGTTTTACTCAAAAAGAGAAAGAAAGAAACAAAATCCTCCTAACTAAAGCTCTTCACACTTAACAGTCCAATTAGGTGGCCAGCGGCGTGGTGCTTTCTCACGGATGCTTTTGTGGCTCCCACCTAAAACTCTAGCCGAGTCCCCAAAAACAATTTGATGCCCCATAAGCAGATCAACCCCAAACCTAAGGCCTTGTCAGAATGAAGAAAGTGAAATTCAAAGGGAGAGGTAAGAAGTATTACGTTTCCAAGTTTGTGGAGGGCCAACAGCATCGGTAAGCCCCAACGACTCCCTACATCTCAAAGGTCTCATTTCCCAGCTTACGTCTGTCACTCGTCTATTCGGTTTGGTCAAAGCAGCGGCTGGGTCATCTACAAGGTTGTGCACCCAAATCCCCTGCAACATGCCTGCCCGGCCACCTTCTGAGATGGAACCAGTAAGTGCAGGGCAGGGCAGGGCAGGGCCACTGGGTGTGCGTCTCAGGAAGGATCTCTCACTCTCACCTGACACGCTCACATAGTTTAAACCTCACGGAGCTAAAGGGATAGCGGTCTCAATTTGGCTGGAGAGGCACAGTAGTGTTTGATATTAGATCACAACATAGGATTTAGGTTTAAAAGGTGAGGGCGTAGAAATTTTCCAAACCTAAATCTATTCAAATGACGTTCAAGATGGGCATGTATTTCCCATTCACAATATACTTCATCCACATCAACAATTACGCACATCTCTTGATTTTCAGAGGCATCTGAAACCCCAAACTTTGCTTCCCACTCCCCTAAATCTCAATCAGTGATCTACAGAACACTGCTACCATGAGACAAGTTGTAGAAAGTAACAAAAAGCCTGATAGTCCTGTTAACTGGCTATGAACCTCCACGATTAAATTAACCAGCCATGCTTAAAACACAAAAAGATTGTGCAACAGAAAAGTTGCACAGGATAAGAAATCCAATCGGGAAAAACAAAAAGCGGAAAGCCAACATGAAATAGTATCTGAAAGTCAGTTGTGGCCTTTCCTTTTTTCCCCCCGCTAAGAAGTGCAGTTTCAATACTTTCAAGTAAATAGGAACAGTGTCTGAAGTAAGTAAAACATCATCAAATGGGGATCTGACTTCCTTTCAAGAAGAGAGCAACCTATCACTCCTATTCTATATGCAAAACCCGCTGTTAAGGGTAGCTTTCACTAACGCTAGAAAGAATAGCAGGAAAAATCTTTCTTCCATCAGCCAAATCTAAATCCATTTATTGCTATAGACAGGTCTGTCTTCAGCAGTCTGAGAAAAACCAGTTTGGACATGTGTCAGAATGTATACAGGGCAAAAAAGATTTAAACTTATTTATCAACACAAGTATACTAACCAACTGTGTAATTTCTATACAAGATCACCATGTGTAATGTAAAATTACCTGTATTTTTCTTAACTTACCAGTTTTTGGAGAAACACATTTATCTTGATCTTTAGAGAAATATTTCATAGCAAGGATTCAATGCTCTAGTACTGGAATAGCCCCAAATTTATACTAAAACCTCTACTTGGAAAATACACAGATCCACGTAATATTTAATTCGCTCATCTCCTATTCTCTCTTTTAGGCACACAGGTCATTTTTTAAACCCCATTCTAAAAAACCAATACCTTCTCATTCAAAACCTAACTATTTGCATTTGAAGAGATACTTCCCCAAAATAGGTTTCAACACAATGTGATTCAAGCAGCACATTTTAAAGATAACCATCCTGTGATTACCTCTGAATTGTATACACATTAATATCTCAAATATCTACCTACACTTTTACCTAATTCTACTTTAATACACAAGTCCTGAAATATACTTACCCTCTGCCCCAACTGACAGGAACTGCCAAAGTCAACGATCTTGATTGCACTGCGTTTGGGGTTACAAAGAAGGATATTCTCAGGTTTTAGGTCACAGTGAATGATACTAAGTTCTGGAGTCGCGAGGAAAAGCAGTGCAGTGCACATCTGTTGTGCAAACTTTCGTGTTAGGTTCAAAGAGACACCTCGAAAATTGGTGTTCCTCAACAAGTCATAGAGGTTGTAGGACAGCATTTCAAAAACTAAACAGAGATGGTTTCGAAACATAAAGTGGCGCTTCAAATGCACTGAAAGAGGAAGAAAAAGTGTCATTTTAAATTATATATACCAATAAGATGAGAATAATGTATGCATGCATGAACTCTCAAACAGTCTAACAACATTTCCACGTCAAATGTAGAGTGAAAACCAAGTTAAAATTTGGAGATCGGCATTCTGCACTAACAGCACATTCTGTAACCAGTCAGGAATATCTAGATTGTTCACCTGCTAATTAAACAGGTGTCGTGCCTGCCAATCAGCAATATAACGTGAGAAGTATCACCAAAATGCTTAGTTTAAAAAAAAAAAAAAAGCGCCTGGGTGGCGCAGTCGGTTGGCGTCGACTTCAACCAGACGGTATCTCAGCGGTCAGGAGTTCGAGTCTCGGTCGGGCTCTGGCTGATAAATTAGAAGCCTGGAGCCTGTTTCACCGATTCTGTTCTCCTCCTCTTCTTCCCTCCCCGCTTCATGCTTGTCTTCAATGTCCAAAACAAATGGCGTTGAGAAAAAAAAAAAAAAAAAAAAGAAATCAGGTCTGAAAACACACATAGCAAACTGACAAACAATACTGAGAATACTTCAGTGACTTTCTGCTCACTTCTATGAGAAAGTATTTTTTACTCCCTGAGAGCCCAACCTCACAACTTCATATAAAGCCCCACCCACTGGGATCTCCAGGTTGTGACCATGCTGCTGTAGGCGGCTCTCAGGCTCTGATATATATCCATATTCCGCTTTGCTGAGCCTTGGATCTCACTAGTAATTTCCTGTAACAATTGTCAAAGGAAGGCACAGATCTTTTTTCTTTTAGGCAAATAAAACAAGTATGTGAAAAGCATGCTTTACAAGAATTAGAGTTCATAATCAAGGCATTTGATTATGTTCATCAAACTGGTACATGGGATATCTTGTGCACAACTGAAGGTTTGGGAAAACTTGAAAATAAAGCTCAATCACAAGAAGAAATTGTAAGCAGGCTCACGAATGAGAAAAAAAAGAGTACAGAAGCCATTATATGCGATCAGTGTTGACCTCTAAAAAGGCTTAATACACACTAAATTGCTTCAAAGATTGTGCTTTTAGTATTAACACTGACTGCACATCAGATGAGGTCATTCAATAAAGTGATGCCCTTCACTATAAAATTCTTATATATACCAAGCTGAACACTTGTTACTCAACTGGAATGACATAAAACAACCATCTGTCAAGGTTACCTTCATTTTGGTCTCTTAGTTTCACAAAAAAACAGGTTTCTCTACAGATCTATCTGGAGTAACTATGACGGTATTCAATCTCTGGTCCCCAAAAATGGGGGATACATTGTGTGCTCCTGAATGGCCTCCCCAGGAGCAGGGCCCGTCAACATTGGTTTCACATCATTCTTGATACAAACAATCCAAAGCTGGGATAAATAATACAAATGCTAAACGGCTCTATAGGAGTCTACAGTACAACTCAACACTCTGAAAATAAAAAGAATCCTTAAAGGTTACCTAAGAACGTATAACATCTGGGGCTCCTGGGTGGCTCGGTCGGTTAAACGTCCGACTTCGGCTCAGGTCACCATCTCCCTGTTAGTGGGTTCGAGCCCCACATCAGGTTCTGTGCTGACAGCTCAGAGCCTGGAGCCTCTTTTGAATTCTCTGTCTCCCTCTTTCTAACCCTCCTCTGCTTGCTCTCTCTCTCTCTCCATAATAATATAAAAAATTAAGAAAAATTAAAAAAAAAAAAAAAAAAGAATGTATAACATCTGCTCTTAATCAGTGAAGCGCATAGGTTTAATACTATAAACAGAGCTCCATGGGCAAGAAGACACCCCAGCAACATGGTCAAGAGTTTTAATTTGATGAAGCAGTAGCCACAAAAAGAATGTAGAAAGTAACTGATGTCAAAACTCCAGTGTAATTACAAAAATTCCTTTAAGAAACTCTGTGATTACAAAGTTCTTCGAATGGAAGATCAATCCGCTTGGTTCCACCTGACTTCCCAATTCATTACTCATTTACTGAGTAACTACAATGGGCTGAGCACTAAAGACATTGTCAAAGAAAGCTCAAACACAAATACATTTATGTATCTTTTTCACCGAACTTTGGGGATACGGTTGTGTTACCTTTTTAACTGAACTTTGTTGAGGGTCAGCAAGACTTTGTTCTAAACCTAAAGTGAATTTTAACTAGACCCATGACAGATACCAAATAATCCACGTGAGCAATTATGCTGCATGGTAAAGAAGACTTTTTTTTTTAGGCTCAAAGACCTAGGACTACAAACTATTAGAATAAATGATTCTTATCAATCACTTCAAAACAAAAAGAAGTTACTGACATCACAAAAGAGCAACATGACTTTGAGACATCTTAAACTTTAAGTGTCAATTCTCCTGGCACGGCTATGTCTAATCTTAAAGTTTTTGCTTGTTTTCCAATATAGAGCCTCAGTTTCTTGAGACACTGTGCATTCACCACCTTCCTAAATAAAAACTTTAAAAAAAAAAAAAAAAACGCATCCCAAAAGCATCTATAATAATTGATGCCATTAATAATCATTAAAGTCAGTTTATTAAAAACAAATTGACAGCCATTATCATATACACCTGAATAACTAACATTTATTGAATGCTTACTGTAAATTTGCCATGTTTTCTTTCCGTAAGACAGAATTCAAATGTAATGCCATCAACATTTTCTCTACTACTTAAGCAAACACTCAAAACACAAAACACAAGAGTGAGGAGGAAGATGTTCACAGATTATAAGTCAAGTATCCTTCAAATGTCCTTCTTGAGCTTCTAAGCCCTTTGAACGAAAACAGGCTCAAATTTACACGTTATAACTGACACTGAACAGTAAATGTTCAGTGAGTATGAAAGGTTTTAGGGGCACCTGGGTGGTTCAATCAGTTAAGCATCTGACTTTGTGGCTCAGGTCATGATCTCACAGATCGTGGGTTGCAGCCCCGCGTCAGGCTCTGTGCCGACAGCTCAGAGCCTGGAGCCTGCTTCGGATTCTGTGTCTCTGTCTCTCTGTCTCTGTCTCTGTCTCTCTCTCCCTCTCCCCCACTTGTGTTTCTCTCTCTCAAAAATAAATAAACAAAAAAAAAAAAAGAAAAGGGTTTAAATAGACATGTTATTACTATGGATTATATCAGGTTTTCTCTACAGAGAAGAAATTAAGAAAAATTAATAATATTAAGGTCATTTTACTGTAACACTAGGGAATGAAGGCGGTTTCATAAAGGAAATCTGATCTTGGTATCTGAACCTTACATCTTTAAACATTTTTTGTTTCCACCATTTTGGGCACACTAAAGAATCATAATGCCCACTTATTCATAAAAAGATATTTATTAAATAAAATTTAACCTCATGTTTATCAAGTCAGGCCAGCATTTCTGGAAATGAGTTGCTATGTATACATGCCTAGAGAAACTTCTATAGTTAGTTGATCCTAAGGTCTCAATCTTAAAACTTGATGGTATTTTATATTTACTCTTGGTAGCAATTTGTTTCTTGGCACATAGAATAATGGGATCTTACAATCCTTGGCATTTTAGATTTGACTGAGAACAGTATTAAACAAGGTATATTCAGATGTTGTTGGGCCCATATATCAACTGACTTCACTATTTCGAGAATTTTCCTCTTTTTTGTTTTCAGGAAAAACACTGTAAGACAAGGAAACAAACACAGGGTCTAGATTCCAGCAGAGGTAGGTTCAGATGCTAGCTGCAGAGCCCCTGGGATCCTGGGTATGTTACACTTTGTAAACACAGTCTATAATCTAAGGACCCTACCGCTTTCCTTACAGGACTACTCTATTACAGATGATGGAAGAAAAGCACAAGGAATATGATAGGAGTTCAAGAAATAGTGGCCATTACCTCTTTTCTGTGGTAATAAGTCTTAACAGCATCTAATGCTGTCAAACTGACAGATAGCCTGAGGAGGAGTCTGAGAACTTGGCTCAGACATTCCAAAACTAGTTCTATTATTGTAATATATTTGGCTTACTTCTAATTTCTGAGGGTAGGAGAAACAGTTAAAGTTGCTAAAAAGAGGACCCCTGGATAAAGTGCATCATTACAGCAAACAAATGGCACTAGTAAGTTGCAAAACATGATACTATTCTTGTGTTTCTAAATTATACACCACGAGGAATGCACATTCCCCAAGATTTAGAATATTACTGCCAGATCGAGTAACTGACAAAAATCTATGCCCTCCAACAGAAATAAACAGTTGAATTTTTAACCTATCACTTTAAAAATTAACATATTCTCATTCAAAAACAACCATGAACTCAAACTTCTGGCCCATGTGAGGGCACATGGCTTTGTGTGCCTGTTTGTTTACCTATGTAGTATTTCATTTCAGTGTCATGTTTGTTCATGAGCTCAAGAAGTCGCACTTCTATCTGGGCTTGATTCAGAAAAGCCTTCTTGTTCTTTATTATTTTAATGGCAACCCATTCTTGCTCCACACGATCATATGCTTTTACAACCTAAAAGAGAAAAAAGATAAATAATTCTCTACTAATGGCAACAACTGCACGACATTCTACATTTAACTTTAATTGTATATTTACCTAATTCTCATTCTTCTCATCTCCCTAAGATGAGGTCCTGTTCGTTTCCATTCAGTCTCATCCATTTACTACTTTACAGTCAACTTTAAGTCAACCTTTTCAGTTACATTTCTTTTGTATCCTTACAGTATTTCTAAATATCCACAATATTGCCTTCTTAACAAAAGCCAGATTTCTCCAGAAACAAATTTACATCATGACAAGTGCTTTGCTTTTTTACCTTTTTTACTAAATGACACTATAAAACAATTCTCCTAACCTTTTAATGGGAGAAAAACCTGGTTTAAATCTCAAGTATATGTGTAAATTATTTATTTTTTAAAGTTTTTTTAATGTTTATTTATTTTTGAGAGAGAGTACGCATGAGTGGTGGAGAGGCAGACAGAGAGGAAGACAGAGAATCCGAAGCAGGCTCCACGCTGTCAGGGCAAAGCCCAAAAGTGGGGTTCAAACTCATAAACTGTTGAGATCATGACCTGGGCCAACGCTGGACACTCAACTGACTGAGCCACCCAGGCACCCCTCAGGTAAAATATTTAAAATAAGGTTCTGAGTCATTTGAAAAATGCAGAAAGCTTCCTAACCTTAAGTTAGATTTTCACAAACACGGGTATATAACAAAAGAATAGGTTTACTTAAAAAAAATAAATCTAATACAAATTACTCAGCAAGTTCCAGGATATAAGGTAAAAGCCACAATTAGTGGATTTTGATAGTTTTAAAGTAGGAATCAATGCTAAGGAAAGTGGAGTGTTCATAAGCAAATCACCATGTACACCTCTCATCTTAATTTTACTCATTTAAAAGGAGTTTCACACTACTAACAAAGAGAGTTACATAAAAATTAGGAAATCGGGGCGCCTGGGTGGCTTAGTCAGAAACATCCAACTCTTGATTTTGGCTCAGGTCATGATCTCACGATTTGTGAGATCAAGCCCCAAGTCGGGCTCTGGGCCAACAGGGTTGAGCCTGCTTGGGATTCTCTCTTTCCCTCTCTCCTTGCCCCTCGCCCATTCACGTACTATCTCTTTCGCACACACACAAAATAAACATTTAAAAAACTCAGGAAATCAATACATTGATAAAAGAGAACTATCCACAAATCAGAAAGAGCAATCTGATTAAATGTTAATTTATATTTATAATACATACAATCTGAATAGGCAAGAGTTTTTATACATTTTCTAGCATATTCAGAAAGCCTGGAGATAGATGTAGGTAGAACTCCAGGTAATTCCAATTTGGAGGCTGAGTACCACTAGAGGAGAGGAAGAGAATGGAACGTATGAAGATTTACATCAGTCAAGGTTAAATATATCGTCAATGGTATATTACAAATGGTCCAATTAAAATCAAACTCGGAGGGGTGCCTGGATGGCTCAGTCGGTTAAGCGTCCGACTCTTGGTTTCAGCTCCAGTCACCATCTCGCGGTTT